AAAATAAATACCTCATATTTACTAGACAAACATTTTGACAGTTCAATTTACGTTTTCATCAAGGTAGGTGCTTAAATTTGCGGTTTTCAAATATACTATTTAATACTGCTAGTAATTAATACTGTTATTCATTTTCAATACAACAACATCTTTGTTCGTTAGTCAGATTTGTGAATAACTAATTATAATTCACATTGGCTCATTGAAATCATTAATATTGAGTGTTTCTGCCTATCAATTTCAACTATTAATACATATATATATATATATATATAAATTGAGTTCACGAGCTATTGTGTTGTGATCGATCATAGGTAGGTATAGGCGTATTAATTATTATTATTTAATTTACAAATGGCTCTTCAGTAAACTTTGCTTATGTGCGTTTGTTACGAGTAAATATCAGTTTTAATTTCACAGTGCAGAAGCTTAAATAAAAGTGCAAATATTAAAGAAGTACATTAATTGGACATCAAGCACAATAATAATTATGATATCTGTCTGTTATAGTATGATTATGTGTAAATAAGCTCTGACATTGGAATAAAAGTAAACAAATAATTGGAATGGTGATATTATTAGTTTTTAATTTAAAATGGTAGATATTATGTGTCTTAAGAAAAGGAAGGTGTTATAATATATATGATAGTACGCTAAGCTCATCTAAGTTTCTGATCATCAGCTTACAATCCCACAGTGGTCCTAGAGGTATATTTTTTGTCACGTATTATACGCTCAAGAATATCATGAAAAATACATTGTTCAAATGAAAAATTACCGATGCTTAACCAGAACATCAAATAACATATTAAATGCTTCTTTAATATGTATAATTTGCTATAATGTAAAATGTTATAAAACAAAATATAAACTATAAACGCGAAGCATTAACTTTCTTATAGATAAGAAACGAAAACCCTTCCAATCTTCCGAGATTGATAAACGTATTTCCAACTCATTTCAATGCTGTTTAGTATTTGAGGCAAATAAATACGTTTGATGTTTAATTTGAATACAGACCGTATTCAAATTAGATGTTAACGTACATACCGAAAATCGAGCCCTATGTATGTATGAATGTACACATACAAGGCAATGTCAATCGAAATTTCTTTTTTCCCCGTCTTGAATTGTGATTGAATATTATAAATACGAATGTGACTTTATTTATCTATTTGTTACGCTTTCATAACTTGATAACTCAATCGATTATTGTCACATTTTGCACACACATTGTGAGCGGTACAAAAAAGAAGATAAGTTACCTTTCATCCATAACAAAAAGTATAGTTCCCTAAGGATAGCAAAGTAGCAGACATAAGCTAGTTTTTGAATGAGAATTTCATAACCAGTCATATATTGTGCCCGGTTGACAGTAATTGGCCTGCCCTCTACTAAGTGACACTACAATTACATTCGGCAACATGTGAGCGTTTAGTACGCCTCTGTTCATTCTTTTGGGGATAAAGATGTGTGTGTGTATGTTATGTAACTACTATACAGTCTACTATCTTTTAAACTACATGTATTGTATTGAATCAGCCTGCGATTACGGCCGGTGCCTCAATTCTGCTATTTTAATATTGTATCAATAGACTGTCGATGGAATGTCGTCGGAATAGTTTAACACTTTTCCTATTCTACTAACCATGTGTAACCTCCGTGATGACGTATCACTGAACTGTCACTGATATAAATGTCGTCGATGTCTTTGTGATAGTTTGGTAAATGGCACATTTTAAATTTGTAAGAAAATGATTCATTTAGTTTCCCGGATTTGGCAAAGTTGTTGATATCACCATTGCTGAGCCATTATCACTAATGGGTTGAAAAATTGAGTCATTCAGCATTTATCTTTTGTTTGTCAGTTTAATATAATATACTATATAATATTCATAACATCGATAAAGTTAGATATGCGATCTGATATTATACTTTCCGGATACTTATCTAGTAGAGTCCCGATAAGTTAGTACTTTTCCATTTTCCGTGTTCTGTGGTGATAAATTCTACCCTTACACGAAGTCGGTCGTTGGTCGATAAAATAAATCTACTTCCGACATTTCCTTATGGAAAAAATCTCTTTTAGCCAGTACCATGAATGGTAATACATTATTACGTTTCAATGCATGGCATTCCCGGCCATCAGTCCCCCTCGCTGAATCCTGTTTAACGTTTATTTATTTATCTCTCCTGACTAAAATAAGAGAAAAAAGATGCTTGTAGTACAAATCACCAGGTCCTCATCAAATGGATAGCAGAAACATTATCTGTACTTAGTATTATTAATGTTAACTTAACCATTATGTTCATTATTTTAGGAGAAAACGAAACAAAAAATAAGAAATCATAATAGGTAAATCAAAATAGAAGTGTATGTGTTTGTGTGTGTGTATATATGTGTGAGGATTGTTAGTTGATGTCTTCTATGTGAGTATTATTACTAAGGAGATTTTCTGTGAAGACATAATGCAGTCCACGTAACCACGTCGCAACCAAATACCTGCATTTAGTTTTTGTACGAGAGCATATTGATAATACCCGATTCAATTAATTATACAAATTAAAGCCTTGGTATCAGAAAAATCATGTGTTAAAAATAGATTTTATGCAGACCACGTACCAGCGGCGCTGGTATACGAATTTATTCGGTTCATACTTTAACAGACAATGCTGCTATTTAGTAACTGTAAAATGTACAGTTGTCGCACTGTTAGAACTTGCCATTACTTAGAAAGTTTAGTAGTTAGATGATTAAAGGCGGGAATAAACTTACTTTTAGAAGAGCTCGTTGGGGCCATTCGATTTTCAAAAAGTATGTTTTGCAGACACTTCCCCAAGAGGTGATGCAGTTACGAGTACAGAGTTGAGACTGACGTAAAGCAAAGTATACTGATTTTATCGTTCATAATAGTATATTATATATTCAATAAAAATACGCTATGTTAATATAATTAAAACTCATAACAACGCTTCTAAAATATTAGATAAGATTTCAAATGTTATAATTTACATAAACATAGCCGAAGGGTTTTTCACTGGGATATTTACACGAAATTTATTATTAAGAGCTGCTAACCGCTCTCTCGTTTTGACAAGACCCTGTTATATCGAGCAACGGTGTACCGTAGCCATTACGAATTTTATTCACAACAATGAGCTACACCTCTATTCTATGTTTTGAAACTTCTAACCCAAATGTTTAAAGAGGAAAGCTTTTGATATACTTGCTTTATTTTATAAACATTTTGTACTTCTAAAAAGTCGTAATCAAATAAAAGGTCAGTTATATCCTAATTGACAATCAGTGTGTGTAAAGGATAAACTAAAGCTTATTTTGAACATTTCTACTAGAATGTAGAGAAATGTTCGTGTGATGACGGATTAACAATACGGAATGTCACCAACCCTATTCATCCCATGGGTGTCGTAACAGCCGACTAAGGGAGCGAGCTACGCACGACAACAGCACTGCAAAGAGAAGGAAAGCTTGACACAACCCCTATACCAACCCGTCTGGCCAGCGTGGTATAGTAGGCCAAAACCTCCTTTTTAAGGAGAGGCCTAAGTCCAACAGTGGACTTTTATACGCTGTTGATGTATGTGATGTTCAAAATAAGTTAAGTACAGTGTGCAGTACAAACTGTACTTAACTGACTGAAAATATCTCATCGCTTCATCAAGAAACCATATTTATTACAAAATTCTACATAAATGTGTAGTAATATTTAAAGAGCGTTATATAAAGCCGAAAATGGTTGAGTGAACTTGAAAAAGCTTTTCTATTTAGGGTTCCGTACCTCAAAAGGTAAAAAAGGAACCCTTATAAGATCAGCTTTACTTGTGCTGTAAGACCTTGCTTTTAACCAAAATTGACAATTCTAGGTCAACCGGAAGTACCCTATAGGTTTTGGGTCGAAAACCTATATGGTAGTTCCCGCTGACTTAGAATCACGAAATTTGGCAAAAAGACAGGTCTTAAATGATACCAATTTTATTATGGCGGTATAATGGGTCAGTACGGAACCCTCAGTGCACGAGTTCAACTCGCACTTGACCGGTTTTTTTAATGTTTATTCTAACAAAAATAATTTTCCTGTTATATGAGCACATGTTTTAACGACAAATCATTCAAAATTTCGTTGCTAAGTTCAAAGATTTTGTTTTTATTTTGCTGAACATTTAAAAAAAAACAGAATATAATAACAGCCTGTATAATAACAGATAGTAAAATCTAGTCACAATAATAAGTTGAGACACCTAACGACCATACGGCCGTCTGATCCTAAACTAGGTAGAGTCTTGTTACCGTAGCACAGCTATGGTAACGAGACTACCAATAAACATATTTATTTATCTCTACACACATATAAAGGATAGAAAAAAATGTACACCTAATTGGGTAGATACCAACAATAGAGAGTCAGAGAGTGGGGACTTCTGGTAACAGATTAATTGCTGCGGTAGGCGATAGGATGGCGGCCCGATCGTAACACACATTGATTGGGCTGATAGGCAGGGGGAATCCTGCTTTCCTCGGGATAAGGCCTGGCCTGGCGTCGATCCGGGGGGGGGGACCTGAAATAACATGGTCCGGGTGCTCCCCAGAGCGGCTGAGACCGGCTGTCTAGGTGGTTTTTAGTGGAAACACCACATACTCCTGACTCCTGTGTCCCCGAGGAGCAGGAGATGAAGGGACTTTCCACCTCGTCATAAAAGAAAAAAAAAAGATTGGTGTTGGTAGCTTAGAGAAGCACTCTGTTACGATTTTAAAATTTCAGAAACATTAATCACGATTCTCGAAAAGTATTTTAAGTATGAGGTCTATTATCAAAATTTAATTATAGCAACCAATTTAAAAATAAATATATTGCATTTGACAAGGTTTTAAAAATTCATAGTAAACAACCACAAAATATTATAAATCAGAGGAAAGTAATATTCACTGGTTCTTCAAGAAAATTTGTAAGTGTTTAAATCGTTAATATCATAGAACGAACCTGGTAGCTTCCTGTTTCCCGTCGTCCGCTCCCCGGACTGTGCACAGTCTGCTCCCTCCCACCCTCGTAGTTACCGACGTTTGCTGTGAACAAAACGGTTTATTACAAAAAGTTGACTTTGTCGCAGCCTCTGGTGTAGTATGCCAAAAATTTCTTCCATTTTTTGTCGTTATCTATTGAGCCTTCCATACAATAACTTGTTCATATTGTTCCTTGTAAAAATGTTATTCCGCAGTTCTTATTACATAGTCTGCGTGTCATATGATTTTCGTACCATAATATATAGCTATATATTGATATGAGTTTATGGATTCTTATACAAAATATATGCATATTATGTAAATACTTAAAGTCATATGATGTAATTGATTTTTTAAAGTTTTAAACATTTTTTTTTGTTTTTAGCTGCTTGGGATTGTTATACACGTCTCATCTAATGGATTTTGCATGAAATATAATAAAAATCACTCGATCTCGTACGACTTAATATTACTGATTAAGTATTTGGTGCATTACATAAAATCTACTTCTACTTTTAAGTTTTGCATACAACTTGCAAAATTTGAAATAAAAAGAAAATCTTCTAACTTTTTGTAGAATACAATTAACTAACTGGAATCACTTTAAACTATATTTAGTCTGTACACCTGCTCTATTTCAATTAGAGAAAGTGTAAACTTAACTAGTACAAAATTATTCTACACACCTCTCTAAGAAACAAATTAAGCAAATCAGACACAAACATCTCAAGTTCTATTTCATTAGCGTTTGTATGTAAACTACAAAGCTGACGATAATATATACTGAAGGTAAGAGCTCAAGAATTACGCCTAAAATTTATACATAATAAATACCTGTCTTTAGACGTCATCCCCGAAAACCAATTAGGTAAACTGAAACGATAAACTTCAATGCGATTTACACGCAAAGAATAAGCTTAAAATATCCCTTGAATAGTAACGTTATTGAAAAAAATGTTAATTAATCACTAAAGATTTAGAAAGTTTTACATTGAAAACGGACACTTTATTCATAAATTCTTAGTTCATTCTCGATTTAATCTGTTGAAGAACAGGAACAAATACGACAAGCTTAAACTCTTATATACTTTGAAATATAGTCTTAAATTACTGCACTGACTGACTGCACGAATGGCGTAGTGGTTTAAGCGGTCGCCACGCCGCTTTCTACACTGCCGAGTGTTGTGGGTTCAAACCCCACATGGGACGACACTTTGTGTGATCCACAAATTGTTGTTCTGAATCTGGGTGTTCTTTGTGTCCGTTTCATGTGTGTTTACACAGACATGTATTCCTAACGCGGGAGTTGTCTTTAAAAAAAAAACTAAAAACAAAACAGAAACTCAGTTTAGCGAAGAATGTGCCTCCAGTACCCACTTTCATCAACTATGTGTTTCTACCAGAATATAATTGTGTAAATGCATAATTCGGGCAATTGAAAATTAAATTTGTAATTTTATGATTTAATATTTATTTAATATATAAGATATTAAAGTGAAAAAGATCAAAACCTGTTTTGGTTTTAGGTCACTGACCCGTCCATACTGTATTATTATGGGCTACTAAATAAGTGTACTAAAAGTAGTCGACGGTTATAACAATAAATTTTAGAGTAGTAATAAGTTGTACCTAAAAGCAGCATGCAAAGTATCTATAAAATGTTAATACTGAGTTTTGGCTTCAAAAACAGAATTGTACATGTATTTCAGATACCGTGACTTTATTAAAAAACAAAAGATGTTGAAATATGACATTTTGAGTCATTAGATTACATAACTCTTTTGTCAGTAATAATATGAAAATGACGCGTGACGTTATACGCATCCTGTACTTTTTTGTATATATTTTTTTTGGAATTGTTGGTGATCACGTTTATATCCAAGTATAAAGCTTTAACGTAGGGACAATTTAACGTCAAAAATGTGTATTTAAATGTGTATTTCCTTTCATCTTTGAGGATTTATCTCAAATATCAACGTAACCCATTATGAGTTTTTCAATCCTACGATTTGGTCGATGTTATTATCAGCCAATAACAGACATTTTTGCAAAAGAATAAAATACCACTAATAAAAACGAATTGTTCGTGGTCACAAACATTTTTAAACATATTGTAACACACCACGGAAAAGCAAGTTTGAATGATCGTGTGATACTTATCGAAAGTGTAAAATTTTGTACAATATTTTCACATAAAATATATCTGTTTTTACCCTTTCTGGGTCCAAAGGTAAATTAATTGAAATTAAACGGCAGCCACTTTAGCTTTCAACCTTAACATACATTTCAACAGTTATTTGTTAATAAAAAATATTTGTCATAAAAGTGCTGGTTTACCGATGTACATTAAGTCATTTGAGATAAATTTTGAGGGTATTTATAATCGTTATGAGTTAATTTTTATGAATACAAAATTAATGCAAAGTTAGATATTGTCACGATTTGTATTGTGATTATCCTAGATATAAACGAAACCACCGCATTTTCGAAAATATCGTTTATAGTTAAACTATTGTAAGAAGATTGATGCATTAGTAGATATATATATATATATATATATATGGAATGAGAATCAATTTTTATGAGTATATCAGTGCGGAGACAAAAGAGAATATTACATAATAAGAACAGCAAAACATTTGTTATATTTGACAAAAGACGATGATCAGTATTTCACATATACATTTATAGAAGTACAAAATATCATTGAATAAAGCCAGACATTCCAAAAAATTACAGTACCTTCAAAATATCTGGAATTCTTTGTTAATATTTTACAATATAATTGTACATCTTATTTTATGAATACCGTCTCTGAGAAATATGGAACATAATTTACAAATGACGATGCCGAAGTTTTATTGTAAGTGGTTTCGGTCCTCGTAAGATTAAGTCGCGTAATAAAATGGATTTCATCAAGATATTTCATTATTAGAGCCTAATATTGCCGCTCTAATACATTATATTGTGACTAATTTCATTTATCTACTTAGATTAAATAGAAATCTGTATTTTAAAAACAAAGTCTGAAAGGAAAGGACTATTATATAATGAGCTGCTGGAGCACAAAAATACTGAGCTGCTAGTCTTAAAAACACGCAATACATCTGTTAACGTGACTCCTCTTTATTTGAATGGCACAGCGCTGAAGGCAGTAGACAAATTTGTTTTTCTTGGACACCATATAACTCTTAATTTAAATGATGACTTAGATATTGATAGAGAACGGCGCTCGCTTGTGATAAGGGCCAACATGCTCGGTCTTCGGTTCACCCGAAGTACTGTTGAGGTAAAGAAACCCGCACTTTGTAATAGGTTCCACGCAAAAGATACCAGAAGATGAACGTGATCGCAAGCCGACCCAAGAGAGTAGGCGAAATGACCAAGCCAAATACTGCAATATCTAAGAAATCGATATCTGATTTCTTGCATCAGCGGTGGATTCGAGACGTCTTACAAGATTGCTCTTTCGTTCTTATGGCAATTAATGCGCTGGGGGCTCAGGTATTTGTTCCCTTTACAACCTTATACGTTTTCCATGCGCGAGGGGCTCAGGTATTTGTTGCCTTTGCACCCTTATTGGTTTTCCATATTCATGACTTTGTAACACGTACAATTACTGGTTATGTCGATGACAGCACACTCATAGTAAAAAAATTTTATTCTCATGTATGAAGAAGTTTACGGAAATCTTGTCTTTGAGACAGTCTATGATTAATTCGATTAATTTAATATTAGGGTCTTTCTTGTTCCTGTGAAAGTTACGTTTCCATCATCTCTTTAGATGGCAGAAAAATGCTTACACGTTTACCCAGTAAACAAATATGATTTAGTACTATATTTTTCATATTTCACTGAAACGACCTCTAAAATATTTATGATTATATTTATAATTTATTATATATTTATTAAAGTACATTATTTTAATAAACCACCACCTACTAAATGCAACGAAACGAAATTTCAATTTCTGCAAGATTTATGACGTAATACGGAGATATAAAGTGGATAAACGACCCAAATGGAAATGGCCGCAGGTATCTGAAAATACATAATACTGTAAGCGAGGGCTAACGCAATTTCCTGTTTCATTCATTACGCTCCTTATGATACTTGCATGTTAACCTGCCCACACAGGAACTGAATATTCGCAGTGCCAGAGTATTTTTTGGCATTTGGATTGCATAATATAATTTTAGTAATGAGATTTCATTCGGCTATTTGGGAGATAACAAGGATGTCAGAAACGACGTCTTGCATCATAACACTGGGTTGTATTATCACCACCTTTCTAGGGCGATTGACTGTATTGACTAAAACCACAAACTGACAGACTTATTTACTGACTGATCGATCAACGCACTGCCGAAACCACTTCAGGTCAGGCAGCATTCAATTTTGCACAAATGTTCCTGGTGAAGAACAGGTGAAGTAAGTGTGCACTAAGAAAGGATTTTAATAAATTTCTCCCCTAAGGGTGCAAAATGGGGTTTAGAAATTTATATGAAACTTCTTTACTTTTGGTAGTAAGTTTTTCAAACTCACAGTAAACACTCTTTATTAAAAGTAATAAAAACGTTGTTACTAAGTTTTCAAAACGGATGCTAACGGATGAACTTATCATGGCGTTTAGAACAGTGCTGATTTATCAGAAACTAAATCCCCCTAAATAAACATGCAAAATATCCCGTTAATAATAACTTATCGATTAAAAATTACCATGGTGTTTTGAATCAATACATTTGCGGACCAATCGAGAAAAAGTTTTAAAGCAACTCTTAATAAAAAAATGCCTTTTTTTTTTATTGTCGTAGGATGCTTTCTTACCGATCGCGGTTTTTCCGAAGCACCTATTTTTACATTTTCGTAAATTGTGCAAAAAATTAATATTCTTTTGCTACGAAATGATTTTTACAAAAAAAAACTATATTAAAAGCCGTAATTGATGCTTTGAACGGATTGGCTACGAGTCACACAAGCTGAGAAAATGACGGGTCAAAATTCAGCATCTCTCATTTTCTTCATTTATTCTCACACTAGAACCTCCTATTTTTTGTTTTTCC